TTGATTTATAATATTTGAGTTAATATCTGATTTTTGTATAAATAAACATTATATCTTATTTTTGAAATTGGATATTTAAAAGTAGGCCTTTGTGTAATTTCCATTTTATTATTTCTTTTTCGACTATTCAGAGTTGGGTCGAATATGGTCCTTTTCTACTCTCACAGTTTGTGCGAGGTGACATTTTAATTTAATGAGTTAGTTTATGCCTCCCAAGAAAAAAATAAATAAATAAATACATTCAAATTTCTGAGTCCCGTTTGTACGTCAAAATCCACGTAAGCTTTGTCATCAATTGTATCAATTATGTTGTGAATGTTGTAATGCAGAAAAAGAATTACTCGATTTTTTTTTTTAACGTGTATGTTATAATCAAAATAAATATGAATAATTTATTTAAATTCAATGATTAGGTAATTGTTAAAGTTTGAGACTTACGGGGTAATTAGCACATAATGTCCCTCTCTTTTATTGTTATTGTGAAAAACGTATCTACTTTCCATTTTTAACATTTTCATCTTTAATCAGACATTTGATTGTCAAAACATTATTTTCATCTAATTTTTCAATAAAAAGGTGTAAAATGACGAATATACCCTTATATTTAAATAAAATAAAGAAAAGAAAAATAAGGAACTAATTGTAGCCATAGTCCCAATTTTCTTTTAAAAAAAAAGTTCAAACGAATCCCAAACAAATTATTAACTTGGACTATGATTGCAATTAGTTCTTTATTTTTGTTTTTATTTTATTTAAATACGAAGGTATATTCATCATTTTATAGATTTTATTGAAAAATTGGTTGGAAATGATGTTTTGCACAATCAAAATGTATAATTAAGGGCGAAAATGTCAAAAATGGAAGTTATAGGCATTTTACATAATAATAGTGAAAGATAGAGACGTTGTGTGCTAATTATCCAATACAACTATTTGGCTTACAATAATTTCCAATTATTTCACGTATAAATATCATTTTTCCTGAAGTAGAGGTTTTTGAGATATGGGAATGCCCTTAAATATTGCAGCATGTTGCTAATGTTGGAGACAGTAACGGCATCTAATGAAGCACTTGGAGGCTATGCATCTCTTTGACGTCTGACATGAAAACGATTAGGTTTTACCACTCTCAATTGTCTTCGGATTGAACCTTCATCTTCTGACTCTTTCATTCTTGTCCTACGATTTCTATTTTCTTCAAATTTGATCCTTTAAAGTGTTGAGAATGTTCAAGTTGGTCGGGAATGCCCTTAAATATTGCAGCATGTTGCTAATGTTGGAGACAGTAACGGCATCTAATGAAGCACTTGGAGGCTATGCATCTCTTTGACGTCTGACATGAAAACGATTAGGTTTTACCACTCTCAATTGTCTTCGGATTGAACCTTCATCTTCTGACTCTTTCATTCTTGTCCTACGATTTCTATTTTCTTCAAATTTGATCCTTTAAAGTGTTGAGAATGTTCAAGTTGGTCTCTAAAACTTCTAGAATCATCCAATCAACTCTTCCAAAATTTTCAATTTAGTCCAATATTCTTGATAGCTCTTCAAATTCATCCTTTTAGCTTCAAGTCATTTCCTTTAGATTGTTTAATCTTCAATTTAGGGTTTTCACCTACAAAAGCAGTATACACATTATATTAGGCAGAAACCTGCTCAAATAAATCCTGTAGTTTTTAGTTGGAAATCAATATTAAAACTCAAATTTTAAGAGCTTCAAAATAGGATAAATATTACCTAATTTTCCTAATATTGTTCAATTCATTTTTCTTCCCCCCCCCCCCCCCCCGGGGGGGGAGGGGGCACAACTCAGAGCCTCATGCTCACGCTCAATATTTTTTTCTCTTTTTATTCATTCCTAAGACTAAATTATTTACCAAATAATATCAAGAAAAGCTATGGAAACTAGTTAGGTTTTGAGTTTTGAGATGGAAGTGAATCAAAAAAATAATAATAAAAAAGAAATAAAATTATGATGTGCTAATGAAATGATGGGGGTGTAACAAGTAGAACTCGCCGGGTCGGGTGTTTTACAAGAAGAAAGCGTTTAAAGTACTTATACCCTTGACACGTATAATTGTAGGGAATTTTTAACATAGATGAAACTTTTTAGGACAAATGAAAGAGAGCTTTTTTCTTTGCACAAAGCATTTTGAGACTTGAAGGTTGAATCTAGTGAGTGACATATAGAGGTTCAACATCGAGTCACACAATATGACTGAATTATTTGGTGCATTTTGGGATAGAGTGCTTGGCAGTGATTGTTAAGAAATTTTCTTTTTCATTTGTTTTTTTATTTGTCTCTCTTTAGCATATCCAAACTCAACGTATTAAATGATATATATATATTCGTTAATTTTTATATATAGATGGAATCGTAGTACCACTAACATATGGAAGTGTTCAAATGGAAAAGGAAATCAGTGATTCAATTTATAAATAGGAGGACTGAAACGAAATTTTACCAAAAGTTAGGTGACCAACAATCTCGCTTAGCCGAATTTGAGTTATAGTCAACCAAACACATTGAATTAAAACAGGCGATTGTAGTTCTGATTTCGAGCCTTATGGTTGGCAACAATAGACAAGTTCGCTTGCGAATCATCCTAGTGAATCTGTAACGTTACGTACATCGATGACAGATTTCCGTTAGATGATGAGCCCAGGATCAAAACTAATTTTGATATGCTATGACTGTTAAATTTGTAAAAGCATTGTGTAATTGTGTGTGAAAAATTGTAAATTTTCTTTTTATTGAAACGCTTTTTTCTTTAGATATAGGTTACTATAAGTAACTTAATTTTCCCCGTAGTAAAATAATCATAAAACTTGATAAATAAGTTAATTGTTATAAGAGGGTGTCTAACACCTATTTTTATGGAAAAAATGAATTTTAGTATAGTAGATTGATGGAGAATATGTATATAAAAAATAAAGAAAAGATTTTGATTTACGTGTAATATTATTTTAGTGAAGAATATGTGATTAAAAAGAAAAGAGAAAAAAAATGTATTTTTTTGATAAAAATGAAAATCAAATAAGACCTAGCTATGATAAGAAGGATTACTTATCTACAATAAGTGAACTTAATTACGTGCATAAAATTTAAAATTATTTAATTTAAAAATCTATTATTTTTTCATTCATATGCACTCTTTTTTATCAACTTCTATAGAACTGATTTCATGTTCGTGGTGACGAGAGATGTGTTACTGTTCGATGAGATCGATCAGTTCTTTCAACTTTTTTAATTGGAAAAATCCACTTCTACACTAGAGTATGTAGCCCTCTCACATGAGAAAGGATCCACAGTAATTAAAAAATTTGGGGGCCTCCTCTCATGTGAGGGGACTATAACTCTAGTGTACATATAACAACTCTCTTTTTACACAGTGAAATTTCTTCATTGAATTGCATAAGGCCGAATTATGATTTGGGGATAGCGCCTCCTGGGGCATAACCCAGTGGTGTAAATGATAGGAGTGAAGTGGTTTCAGCTTTGTTGGTAGCCGCAGTGAAAGTGTTCGATTCCTGAGATATGGAATTAGATTTTTTGTGGGTATCAGTGTACGAGCAAACTCTTATTTTCTGATCTGTTGGAACACATTTCGCGATTTACTTTCCTTACAATGCTCTAGGAATGGGGCGGTGAGGGTCTTTGAGGTTCAACCTTTATGATTTGGGGACAGCAAAACAAATGCCCAGATCCAGGTCATCAATCAAAAAGAGTGACTTGACACAGAGTAATTAGTTGACTTTCCAACTGTCATTGTCTAAAAAGTTCCAGACTGCCATCAATTACTCATTTTATAATCATAATCATCTAACATAACATTCCTTACATTAGGTTTTAAAATTGTCCTTCATTCTGATACCGGATAAGATTAGAAGGTATTCATAAAGAAATATTACATAATAAAAATTGATTCTGAATTAAATCGTGTCTAATATAAATATTAATCATATCAAAAATATATCCCGAACCTAGTATTTAGATTGCAATTGAGCAAAAGAAAGAATACCAAGTGAGGCATTGGATATGTCACGTGTAGGGGGTGGAGCAGACTTCGAGGGAGATGATCGAAGACCACAAAGCATATGATTGGACGAATGGTAGTATGAAGCATGAAAGGAGCACACAAGGTATAGTAAAGATTCATTTTTCTTTGGTTCTTAGTGTCCTGAACTACTTCTGTTTTCATAAGATGGAGGTTAGATCGTAGGTTTTTCTCTTTGAATTGTATTGTTTCGACACGAATAAATCTTAAATCTTTTGGCAACTAAGATAAAAATATATAATATGAACGTAGTAAAATAGGAAAAAGTTGATGTGCAATTATTAACGTCAAATATCATTCCAAAAGTTCAAGGCTCAAACACGCGATCTAAACAAATTTCCAGTTAATGCCACCTCAAAGAGACCATATAATGCATATAACAAGACAATAACCAAGATTTATGTCTAAAACAATTACGCAAAATAATATGGAAATGGTGCCAAAAAAAAGATATAAAAGAGTATGTTCAGGCATTTTAAAGTGCCATTTTAAAACGTCCTACTATCAAAAAGAAAATGTTATTTGTACACCGAAATTGATACTCCAGTGTACACTCCCCTCACACAAGAGGATGGCCCCATGACAATAAAAAAACTTTGGGATCCCACATGTGAAGGGAGTGTACATCGAAGTGTCAAGTCTGGTGTACATGTAACAAAACTCCAAAAAGAAAATAGTCGAAAAGACAATAACCAAAATAATATATACATACAACAATTATACAAAATAATATGAAACACTTAAAAAGCACATTTTTAAGTTCTTATTTGAACTTCCTATAATGTTATATATTGTCAAACCTAATTTTAAGCATGATCAAATATTGTTTCTCATGATACCACATGACCCACAAATATTTGCTACCCAATCTTATTCCATGGAAGAATCTTGACCCCTTGATCATCAACTCGCGTATACACAAGACGAAAACTAAAAATGAAAAGAAATAACAAATAATCAAACCATTTGACCCAATTTTCTACTTGACTAATACACCCTTGACAAATCAATCTCCCTTTCAAATACAACCGTACAAAAGAATTAAATACAAAGGGTATTTCCGTCATCAAAAAGATGGAAATCGGCTACACCTCTGTGAAAGAAAAATTCTGCAATCGTCCTTAGGAACAATCGTAGGGACGTAAGCAATTTCATCACAGCCGTCAGTTCTATCCCTTTCGAAATCAATCAAAGTGGCAAACATTGCAATAAACAACATCAAATGGTTGATGGCGTACCTCTGGCCCACACATTGGTGGGACCCAGCTCCAAATGCTAGAAAGTTCTTTTTATAAACTCGGTCCTCCTGCCTCTCCTCCATGAACCTATCCGGATCGAACCGTTCCGGTTCAGTGAACCCCTGGAAAGAAGAGTCAAAAACCGAAGGAAATACAATAGTCCCCTTGGGAATAACATAATTCTCCGTCAGCCGGAAATCCACTCCAGCAGTGTGTGGCACCATAGTTGCCGGAGCTCGGATTCTCACCACCTCACGTGTCACCGCCTCTGTATACTTCATCTCCCTTAGCTGCTCCGCGGCGATCATGGTGTCGGATTCTGGTGCCCAGTATTTCGCCACCTCTTCCCTCACTCTCTCTAAAACTTCAGGGTGTGAATCCAAGAAAGCCACCGCCCACAGTAAAGATGAAGTTGATGCATCTTGTGATGCAAACAAGAAATCAAATAAATGGCCTCCAATTTCTTTATATGTCAATTCAAATGGGTTATTGCTTGTTTCGCTTAATTCCCTTAAATGTTCCTGCATCCAAAAATCAATCAAACAACTGGGTTCTTCACCATTCTTCATTTTCTTCTCACTTTCTTCAACACAACCTGCAAGTGTCTCCCCCAATCTCTCTACAGCAAGCCTCGCATTTCTAAACGCAAAACCGGGTAAATCAATCGGTAGCTTCATTAGTCCAACATTGAAATAATTGTAGTCTATGTTGAACCGCTCACGCGCCACCGAGCTTAAGTAAGGCCCGACAAAAACTGTTTGGGAGGTCTCCAAATTCATGTCCCGGCAGAGGATACGAAGTGGAATAGACCCAGATGATTCATTTCCAGTTTTCTGGCACCAGGATTTAAGGTGATTGAGGATGATCCGCTGCTGGATATTTGTATATGTTTGAAGGGCTCTCGACGTGAAATTGGGCGCTATACGACGACGTAAATCCTTGTGTTTTTGTCCGAACATGTAGATTAAGTTATGCTTGCCGAAGAGTTTTTTCCCAAAGGGATGGCCAACGAGATGAAAGGCGTCAGGCCGGACATTCGCGAAGATTTTGTGGGAAAGATCGGTGGAGTATATGTAGAGAATGTAGCGGCCGATGATGTAGTTTGCGGAGATTCCAATGGGAGTTGACTTAGCATACGAAGATTGCATTTCCCAGAATTCGGTCGGATTTTTTACTAAGGAAATGGCGTTGCCTATGAATGGAAAAACCAGTTTTGGTCCTGGGAGAAACTGCTTTTTCTTTAGGTAAGAAATCTGTTCAAGAAGAAGAAAAAGAGCAAGAAATGAAACAAGATAAGGAATGCATGGCGATATCAAGGACCATGCTGACTCCATTTTGCGTCGTTTTAGTAAGGAATTTTGGGTTATATATAACAGTGGAGGAAGGTAAAAAATAGAGATGATGGTCTAATTCAATGTAAGGATTCTTGCGGCGTCGTAGAATGTGTAGAAATTTTGGTAAAAGATGAAAAAGGGAGACCAAATCTGAATTTAGTCTCAGAATCCAAATGATTTGCAGTGTTCAATATAGATGGCAGAGTGTCTGAATTTTAAAGACAAGTATTGTGACTAATTAAGTGCCTAATCTAGTATTGGGTTCTTTGGGTTGGCAAGGAGGAAGGTGGTGGAATTCAGGAAGGAAAAAAAAAAATTGACTTTCGGAAATTCACGTCAAATGGGTCTTTACTTTCTTCTGAAAATTAAATTTTGTTAATAAAAGTCTCAGCTCAATTTTTCTTATTGCATCGATCTAGAATGGTGGTGTGACCACAAGGAGAAATAGCCGCAATCCGCAGCAACTATTGTGATGAGAAGAAAGGGACATCCTCTTCTTTGCTAGCGCTGATCTATGGATTGGTAAAAACTGAAAAGTGGATTTCTAAAACAAATTCTAATTAAACATGATCTTGGTGAGGTGAGTTGAAATCCAGCTGGACTTTTGAAGAATTGAGGTGGAGGATTCGGATAGTTTCGAAGAGGACAAGCATATAAGGATTTTATGTTTCTTATATTCAGTATCAACGACTTTGCCTTGATAAAAAACGGGAAGCCAAGTCCGGGATAATGAAAACAATTTGAACAAAAATTATTGAATGCAATATTTTAAAACGAGAAAAAATTGTAATTATAAGTTTTTCATATATAAGGAATCTTATGTCAAGACACTTTAAAAATATTTAGTAACGATTATTGAACAATAATAATGTTTGACAAATTTATATATCATTTATAAAGAGAAACAATAGTATGAATATTAAATGAATAATATTATAGCTTACAATGTACCTACAATCAATCATCACACAATTGAGTGTCTTAAATTTAAGATACGTTGTGGCAAATGTCCTAAATCAACTTGAGATCCCTTTACAATTTTTTTTCCTTATGGATCCAAAGTAGGTGGTTCATCGGCGCTGTGATGTGACGGTCGGGGATGGAAGGATGAAGACAAGTTTTTTTTTTTTTTCTTTCTTTCTTTCTTTCTTTCTTTTTTTGAAATTTTTCATTTTTTCTTTTAACTAAAAATGTTAAAATAAAAAAACGTACAAGTCAACTAGATAGATTAACAGAAAAATTGATGAATTTATAGCACTAGTTGTCCAAAAAAGGTTGGATGGATTTATAAATGAAATGAAAAGTTATATTTGTGAAATTCGTGAGTAATAAGGAAATGATATTTGAATAATGGTGCCGTCATCGAGCAAACAACCAAGTTTACCTGCAAAGCAGCACTGAAGGAGAGAGAACTAGGAAATTCTAGAAGATGAAATGTGTGTCGGAAAATCGTGCGTATAGTTTCTAGAAATTGGATTGTTCAACAATAAGTCACGTACAAAAGATATATACAACTTTCATTTTAATTAAATTTTATTCTTTATATAGCACTTTAATATTTTCCAAATAAGTTTTGAAAAACTATTTTTTCTTACTTTCTTGTATAAAAGTTACTTATTCTTAACAAGTAACTAAATTTCAATTGAGAGATGCTACAGTGCTCGTGGGGATGACTCGGGATTGACGCAACGTGCACACATGGGGTCGGAATTTTTTTATTCACTTGAGATCCACGCACCCTATGTGAGGGCGCGATCACCGACGCGAGTCGAGTGGCTTAACCCATTTCAATTTTGACAATAACATACTATTATTTCAAAAGTTAATTATTTACTCATATAAGTCTTTAAGTTTAGTCAAAAAGAGAACATGAATCTGACTAATTTCAATTTTGACAGTAGCATACAGTAATTCATAAGTCTTTTAGTCAAACAGAGAACATGAATCTGACAATCCTATTTCTTGAAGAAAAGTCAGATAATTGGATGGAATTTCTTCCTTCTAAAAGAACCAACTCCTAATCTAGATTCCATTAGCAATTTCAAAATGATTAAAATTGAGTTTAAATTGTATTGACTTTTATAAAATGTCTTCTTGCATTTGGTAAAATCAAGTACTCCAATTTTCACAGTACAAATTAAACTAACTCATCAAATGTGTTCATTCAACAGATATAGCAGCACTGAAATTGAAAAACACCCTAAATAGCAAACAAGAGAATCATTGGATAGGTTAATAACTCATGTATACACAAGAGGAAGACTATGATTAAGAAAGTGTCAACAAGCATGAGTCCCAGTTCAGCCATAAGTTCAAAATTGGCTAACATTTGGATGAGTTACGAATCTGTTTAAAGATGATAATTGCGGTGGTAATGACGAAAAATTAAATATAAAAAATGGAATGCTCAAATGAAGAGAGATCCAAAGTTTTTCTAGGTGAAGTTCTTACAGTATCTTTATTACCTTTAGAAATACTTGTACTTAATACCGAGCTTCATTAAAAGCTCATTGCTCAACCCTTATTTCAATAACAACTAGCATTATATAAATAGAATAGAGTTATCGCGGATTTATAATGTTGAAACTATACACATATCGAATAATTTGTTGTTACCCTTTGAATCCGTGGATTATTTGTTAAGTAATGTTATGTAGGGTTGCCATCATTGATGGACCTTTTCATTTTAGGAGTTTCAACTCCACTCTACTTGAAGTTGAAGTTACTAAATCTCTATTTAGAGGTTTAGTAAAAAGATTCGCTAAATTCTCGATTAATTTAATATAATTCAGCGAAGTTATTTCGCTTTTGATTAACTTCCTTATGTAATGATGTCTAAGATTCATATGTCTCGACTTTTCATTGTATACTTTATTGTATGTTTTTGCCAACATGGCTTGACTATCACACATGATAGGTTTTGAAGATATGTTTTTCGATCCCAAAGGTATCTCGTATGGTAGATCCTTAAACCACTCAATTTCTTTCCCGATTTCTGATAACGCTACAAATTTGAATTCCATAGTCGAGTGTGTTATACATGTCTTTTTTTTTATTATTATTTACAAGAAAAAGCTCCTCCTCCAAGCGTAAACACCCAACTCGAAGTAGATAGACTTTCTCCCGTGCTAGATATCCAATTAGCACTTGTAAATCCTTCTAATATAATCGAGAATCTAGTGAATTGTAGACCTAAACTATTGGTTTTCTTTAAATAGCCAAGAACTCTATCAATGACCTTCCAATGATCATTGCTCAGATTACTAGTAAACCTACAAAGTTTACTAATTGCAAATGCTATGTCTGATCTTTTATATTGATCTGCATACATTAAACTCCCTATAATACTTGCGTACACCAATTGAGCAACTTTCATTCCATCATTCTTCATAATTTTTGAACTTGATCGCTAAGAGTACAATATTCTTTTATGTTCAAATGTTTAAACTTATTTATCACATTCTCATATATAATGTGATTGACTTAATTACAACCCTTAGTAGTTTTAGAAACTTTGATACCCAAAATGGTATCCACCTGTCCAAACAATAATGACTTTACCAACTTGCTTACCTTGTATTCATTTTCAAGCAGAGCAAACCCTTCGGGTTGTTCCATATAAACCTCCCCATCGAATCCCTATTTGAGAACACCATCTTGACATCCATTTGATAAACATATAAGTCATGTATCAAAGTCAATACGAATAATTTCCTAATTGATGTTATTTTAATTACTGGTGCATAGATATCAAAATAGTATATTCCTTCCTTTTGTCGATAACATTTAGCTGCTAGTCTAGTTTTTAAGATATCAAGAGAACCATCAACATTATACTTTCTCCTGAACACCCATTTACATCCAATGCATTTGAATCCAGGTTATAAATCGACAAGTTCTCATGTATTATTTGACATAATTAAATCCATTTCATCTTTAATTGTTTCGTTCCAAAAAAGCTATCACAAGAAGTCATAGTCTCTCTATAAGTTTTATGATCTATTTCCACTTATAGAACAAAATGAACTGTTCTTACAAACATCATTCTCACTTCCCTCTACTAAGTAAAAAGAAACAAGTTGAGAGTCAACTTCATCATGTTCTAAGGACTTCTCAACTCGAGTTCTTTTGCTTCTTCGGGGTTCAGTAAATTCATTAACATCTTTAGAAGATGTTTAATCTTGTGTTCTACTATAGCTTAAAATTTCCTTATGAATTTTTCATAATTCATTATCCAAAGATTGTGATTTCTCAAAGACCTCTATAATCACATTGGTCTCCAAAGTTAACAATTTATATGATTTGTTATTACTAATATATCCAACAAAGGCACATTAAATGTATATTGGACCCAATTTGGTCCTATTCGGGTTTGTATTCTTACAATAAGCACACTTTGAAGTATCCAATGTTAAATTTTCTTATTTTCCATAATTCGTAAAGATAAACCTTCGTTATTTTAGAAGAAATCATATTTAGTATTCTATACGCACTCAACAACTTTTCATCCCATAAATTAAATGGCAACTTAGCATAGGTTAACATGGCATTTATCATTTCAACTAAAGTTCTAGTTTTCCTTTCAGCTAAACCATTTTGCTCGGGTGTGTGCAGAACATGGATAGATACTACGTTGTTGTTCACAAAACAAGTTAAAATCACTAGAAAAATATTCACCTCCTCTATCATTTATTAAAAATTTTATTCTCTTACATATATGATTTTCAACTTCATTTTTATATGTCTTAAACATATCAAAAGCTTCATGTTTATGTTTTATCAAATAAACATATGTATACCTAGAGAAATCATTTATAAAGGTAATGAAATACCTATTTCTACCTCTAGTCAACATGTCATCTAATGAAATACCTATTTCTACCTCTAGTCAACATGTCATCTAACCTTCATTTGCTTGAAGGTTCGATTTTGTCTATAGCATTGGCCTTGGAAGTGCCTTCATAAGAATTGTCATTCTTATCTCTTGCCCTAAACTCTTCCTCAATACGAAGATGTTATGCAATAGTTCCAAAGAGTAATTTTCGAAAATATGCATTATTTTCTTTCGATATCCTTTCCAAGTTCCCATGAGTTTAGCAATAATTGTTCCCCCTTGGAAGGTTTCCGGGATCTCAATTTTTACCTCCTTCAACTTGTTGACAAGGACTTGCAATTCATGAATTTGGGGAAGAAGGGAAATATTCTCAAGAAGTTTAAAGTCAAAATACTTAGAAATTAAGAATCTCTTTGTACCTTTTTTTCAACTTTGTACTTACTTTCTAAAGTATTTCAGATTTCTTTCGATGAAGATGTGTTGGTGTAGAGATCATACAATCTATCAAAAAGAGCATTGAGAATATGACCACGGCATATAAGTTCATCTTTTTGGCGCTTCTGTCTTTCGACTTTTATGGCATCCATCTCTCCACTTGTTGGTTCCGATAGTGGCGCCAATTCCGGATCAAATATGTAAAATATCTTCAACACCATTAGTAAATATTTCAATTTGTCTTACCATCTTGTGAGGTTGATGCCATCAAAGCGATCCAATCAAAGAAGACCTTGATTTATCAATTTGATTGTTGCCATAATGTTTCATTCTCCATTATGCAAATAACGTTTGAAATTGTTAGAAATAAGTCTTCACAAAGAGGAGAATGTAGAAGAAAACAATGTAAAAATAACAAGAATGTGAAAATGAAGATGAAGAAGGTCCGAACATGTGATCGTTGTCCTCGAACAAGATTTTCTCCCTCTCCAATTGAAATTTAGTGTTTAAAGGGATTATCGACAAAGGATTTGTAAGATTAGATTTAATCACTTAGTATAATTCCTCCAAACTTGAGAATGCAAATTGGGTTTTGAATATGAATGGAAATAGGATTTCAATATAGTTGGAATGAAAAATTTGATCTCAATTGTGGCTATATGTTTTTCAATGTATTTTATTGATCAACAACCATATATATGTAGCTCTCAAACATTGACATCCGAAGTGGTGCAAAAACTCTTGAAAAGACACCAAATTTTTTTAACAAAACGATCACTGACGGCTAGTCAAGCCTTCTATGCGATCGCATAAAACAAATCTATTCGACTGCATAGTTCATATCACGACGGGACCTTTAGGCCTTACAAATGCCTATGCGACCGCAACCTACTTTGGCCTATGCGAAATTTTGCCTCCAAATTGATTTTTTCATTCCTCATACATCTTGTTGATTTTGAACAACATATAACATTAATTACCTTGTGATCAAAACAATAACACAGCCTATAATGTGCGCAGAAGGAAGAAGCGAATGAAACGCGAGCAAATACCTGCCTTGAACAAGAAATCCTTTCCAAAAGAAAACCTAAATGAGCAGAACTTCTATAATTCATCGTACTCCTAGTATGAGATCACATTTTCGATTCCTAAACTGAATCCATTATCAATTTAGGATTTATCTTTGTAAATAATATTTTGCGTATACTATGTATGTCTACAGTGTGAGAATCTGTTGGTGTAATTGTGAATGAATTAAACTACTTTGCCCCGAAAAAATTTGACACAATGCTTGACATCCTTTCACTTGCATGTGGGTCCCGCGTAAATAAAAAATCCAAAAAAATGGGCCCCTATTGTAAGTGTTGGTTAGGTTGCATGTCAACCATTTTTTGGCAACATAGCATGATTGATTGTGAATTTCATTTCTGAGAGGGAATGACACCTACCTAACTTCGAAATATACACCCGACAAGAAAATAATCCTATTTAAACCACTATATATTGCTAACATCAAGAAATGAAATAGTCGAGAATCCCGAGTAACTGGCCGAGCCGCTAATGTAGTTAAAGCAAAAATCTATTTTCAGCTACACATCCTATCAATGAAATATATTTACACGTAAATTCATAACGGTACATTTCAAAAAAAAAATTTCCTTTTTTTTTTTTAATTTACAATGAAATATAATATCATAATCCCAATCGACCGTCAGAGGAGTTTAGATAATCTCTTCACATTTTAGCCAAAGAAAAAGAGGGAGATCGTGCAGAATTTAACACTAGTGATGTCACTTGTACATAATTTACAAATTGATTACATAACATTTTATTAAAATTAATTGATTCCCCCCCCCCCCCCCCCCCTCCCTCCCACCCT